ACGTGCAAGCATGTGTACAGCAGGGCTATTTTTAATAGCCCAAAGTTGGAAACAACTTTGGCAGAGTTGTTAAATAACTTGTGATATATTCATATAATGGAATAATATTTAGACATGCAAATGAACAACTGATCACTACACACAACACAGACTTCACAAACAATATTCAGGAAAAAAAGCAGACACAAAGACACATACCAAATGGCTCTGTTCAGATAAAGTTCAAAACCAGGTCCAAAGTCAGAATAGTGGTCACTTTTGGGTGGGAAGTTAGTATATATATGGGAATACAAAGGGGGCTTTTGGGGTGCTGATAATTTTATTTTTTATCTTTTGGATGCTTATATGGATATGTCACTTTGGGAAAATGTGTCGAGTATTGCATTTATGACTTGTGCTCTTTTTTGTACTTAATATAAGAAGCTTACTTAAAGTAAAAATGAATATTAAGCCCATAACAAAATAGCTGATCCATCTGATAAAGGCATAACCAGAAAAATTGAGTTCTTAGAAACTAAAAATATTATCATTGAGAAAACCATTAGTGGACCTCCCTAAGCAACGCAGTGAGCATGGTTACAACACACACTGTTATTTTTGAACAAGAATCAGCAAACTTTCTCTGTGAAGGACCAGATAGTTAATATTTTAGGCGTCACAAGCCACACAATCTGTCACAGCTGCTTAGCTCGGCCGGTGTGGCCCAAAGCCACCAGAGACAGTATGTAAATGAACAGGCAAGGACGTGCTTCAATAAAGCTTTATGAACACTGAAATTTGAATTTCATATAATTTTCACCTGCCTTGAAATATTATTCTTTTCCCTTTTCTCCACTACTTAACAATATAAATCCCATTCTTAGCACACAAGCCATACCAAAACAGTCCATGAGCCACATTGGCCCCATGGGCTGTTGTCTGCCCACCCCTGGTCTCGAAGATCAATAAAGGAAACCTCGTATAATTTATAGCAGACACAGAGAACTAGAAAAGGTGAAAAAACAAGTACAGTAGACCCAGAAGGAGAAATATTAGTTTCATTAGATTTCCAGAAGCAGAAATACAAAGAGTAAATAAGAGTGTAATATTTAGACTACAAGGGCCCAGGGGATGAATGAAAGACAGTTCATTTCTAGGTACTCTTGGTGAAATTTTAGACTCCTGAAGGTAAAGAGGACCTTCAAACCTGCTGCAGGGAGCCACACATTTCACCTGGATGAGGGTGAGGCTTCACACAGACTTGTCTTCAGCCATGTGCAGCACTGGCAGGTGGCAGAACCATACCTCCACGTTCTGTGGGAAAGGGTTTTCTGATGCACAAGTCTATACACAGCCAAACTGCCAGTGAAACTAGGGGCAAGTAAAGATACACTCAGGTGCTGATCCGCAAGGAGTCAGCCATGTATCCAATGTAAAATGAAGATCTCCAGAAAGTTTCCTGGGAATCCGGGTAGGCATGTTTCTTAGGTGTGAGGCCCGCCACCAGGACATGTCGGGCCACAGACACAATCAGTTGCTTGCCCTACATTCACTCTGCTGACAACCCCCAATTTCCTTTGATATGAGATGGCAATATGCTTCAGGCAGACAGCTCAGAAGGGTAACTATTAGTCTAAACCTTTCATAGTAAATCCATAGTCTTTGCCACCAATCAGTTAGGGGTGGACCTGGGATGAAATTCTGGCCTGTGAGTTTTTAAGGGAAACTTCTAGAAAGCTCCAGAGAGAGATCTTCCTTGCTGATAAAAAGAAACAAGAGAAGAAGGCTCTTCCTCCGGCTCTCATGTCACTGTGTCTGCCCAAGACACTGGCGATGGGGCACCTTCTGTTACATCAGGGAACAAGCCTGAGGACAATAGGCAACATGAGGGTCATGACAAAACGGAAAACAGAAAGCACCTGGGTCTCTGATACTATCTGAGCTGCTTAATTAATCCAGCCCGAACCAGCCTACCTCCAGATTCTTGATACATGAGATAGTAGATGTTCTTTTGTTCAAGTCCCTCCTAGTTGGACTTTCTGTTGTTTCCAACCAAAAGAAGTCAGTTGTTTTAAGTCGTGAAATAAGACTTGACAGCGCTTACCATCTTCATATTTGTAAACTGTGCCTCTGGGTCTGCACCAGGCCCTCCACAAGACCCCCAAAGTGAGAGTGGGGCTGCTGCGGAGGCCAGGCTGCAGGCTTTGGGCCTCATTGGTCTTAGAAAAGAATCGAAAATAAATAGGGTCAAAATTGATTAAGCCAAATTATCACCGGTAAGATCCAGGTGGACTTGGATGCCAGATCCTGAAATGTCGGGGCAGCCAAAGCATCAGCATGAACACAAGCCCTCGTGAATGGGCTGAGCGTGCTGGCTGCCTCGGCTCGGGGGCACAGTTGGGCTGAATCACTAAGACTGCTCAGGACGTCTGACCGTTTCTGTCCTGCCAGGTCAAGGAGGAGCAACAAGCTGCTCTGGGCACTGCTCCAGAGCGCCTGCTTGACATTCACCCTCCACACCCAACCTGCATATGTTTAGATTGCTGGGAACTGGAATTAGGGGGGCAAGTGCCAGCCCGGTGTCATAGGCCACTGCTCTGGGCCATTCGGGATCCATTATGTGTATAGACACGTGTATCAACCTCAAAGCCACGTCCCCAAGGGTCCTCTAGTGACAGCTGAAGCCATTAGAACCATTTTCTTAGTTGGGTGAGCTTTGATTTTTCAGCGATGCTCCTTGAGGACTCACCAAAAGGCATGACTTGTCTGTGGCCATCATCTTGTGTTCCTACACCCACTGGCAAGGTGATTCCCACCCCGGGAGGCACACCGGAATCCTATGGGACCTTTGATTTGACTTGTCTGGAGCGGGGCCTGGGCAAAGCTCACCAGGTGATACTGATGTGTTTCACAAAAGAAAATCCCTTCACGAGGAAACGTGTCCTGTGAGCTCGGTGCGTGGGCCCGGGGACACGGCGGGAAGGTGTTCCTGGGAGCCGGGTCCTCTGGGATCCCATGTGGGAATGGAGAGCAGATTCACCTGCTTCTCTGCAAAACCCCTGGCTAAACAAGCAGGAGATGCTCCTTCCTTGCACACCCCCTCCTCGCACACCCTCCCATGCACACCCCTCAAGCTCTCTGTTTTGTTGCTCTTGTTTGGTTGTCATTGGTATTTCCTTTGAAAATGGAAATAACCCTGCAAAGTCGGGCAAAGCTGAAAACCTTGGTTTTCAAAGTCCTAGGGGGTGATAGAACTAGAATGTCCTATAACGAATCATTTGCTTGATCCCATGTTGCACATTCTACAAACCTAGAATAACATTAATACTGCCACCAATATGCTCACTACAAATATATAATATTTTTTCCTAGACTCTCCCATTCTTCCCCATTATGGCAGTTTGAACACACCATCAGATCACAGAGCCATTGTGCACGGAATGTGCGTTCTCTCTGCCCTCACTGAGTCTGTGCTCTGGGGGTAACTATATTTAATGCTTACCAGCTAGTGATTCTGCAGTCAGTTGGGGTGTCTGAAGCTTGCTTTGTGCAGGTTCCTTAGGAAGGAGTCATGGGATCGGCAGTACAATTTGTCCATGATCATTATGCTTTGAAGTTCATTTTGCTTGATATAAATTCCTTGACTCACATTTTCTTTCCTGTTCTTCTGTTCTTTATTCTAACTTTTTAAAATAGTAATAATTCTGAAGAAGGTTTGGTACTTGATACTTTTCTGTTATTCATTTTTCTGGGTAATTAGTTCTCCTGAACTCTTAGAATGAAGAAGTGTTCAAAAAAGCTTCCCTAACTTCCCGGAGCTCCCTCTTCTGTCGTTTCTGCCTGGAGCCCAAAAAGTAATGTGACCTGTTTCCTGGGCTTTCCTGCCACTGTTCCTCTGCCCCATTTTGACCTAGATCTTTTCTTTCCATCCTTTCTGTTGTCCCTACCCTTCTCAATTTTTATTTTATTTCCAGCAGTTTCCCCCTCATGTGGGACCCCTTCAGGTCTTCTTACCACAGGCCCCTTGCACTTGCTTTGCATTTAAAGAAGTTAAACCCCTCCTGGCTCCAGCAGCTGCGCTCCAGTTTTCCTACCTTCTTTCCAATGTGTTCTCCTGGCATTTTCAGGGGCCCCTGTACTTAGATTCATTAAATGCCACTCCATCTCCACCCTCTTCTTCCTGCACAGACCGATGACATGCAAGACTTATGGTTCCTGGTGTTTTTCCCACTCACCCACTTGCATTTTGGGGAGGGTAGGGACCCTGCCAAACTAGTAACTAAAACTAGTGTTACCTAGTTTTCTTGTAAATGTCCATGGATTTTGCTATATAGTGTATCTCTCTACTTTAAATTGATTCAAAGAGGTTGGAAAACCATGCTGTATCCATGAGACCATACTAATAAAAATGCATGATTGAATAAATAATAAGTAATGGGGAGAACAGACAAAGCTATCATGCAGATGGATTCCAGACAATGTAGGGAGAAGAGCTTTCATTGAGCTGGAGCCTAATTCCCACTGGTTACGTGCAGACTGCCCACGTGACTTCCTTCCAAAGAGAACAGAAAGGGAGTAGGGAGGTCACTTTACAGAGGAGAAACCTGACAACACGACCTCAGCCAGGCGGTCAAGGTTAACAGCCACGCTGGTAAATCAGCTTGACAGCATGTGCCCTTAGTATGATGTGATCAGAATGACACTGTCCCTCTGTGGTCTTCCTCCCAAAAACCCATAACCCAGCCTAATCAGGGGGAAAACATCAGACAAACCCCAGTCGAGGGACCCCTTACAAAATACCTGACCAGTCCTCAAAACTGTCAAGGTCATCAAAAATGAGGAAGGTCCAAGACACTGTCACAGCCAAGAGCAGCCTGAGGTACTGTGGTTTCCAGAACGGAATCAGAAAAAAAGAAGGAAATCTGAATGAAGTATGGGCTTTAGTTAATAATGATATATCAATGTTGGTTATTTAGTAGTGACAAATGTATTATATTAACATAAAGCATTAATAATAACAGGAATTGGACATGATGAAGTTACAAGAAGTAACCCTGAAGAGGGTCCTCCCCAGAACCTGACCACCCTGTCACCCTGACCTCGGACTTGCAGCCTCCAGAACTGTGAGAAATAAATTTCTATTGTTTACAAGCTAGTAGTAATGATAATGATAAGAACAGAACTGGCTGTGGGGTATATGGGAACTCTGAACTATCTTTACAATTTTTCTGTAACTCTAAAGCTATTCTAAAATACGTTATTTTTTTTTAATCCAGTGGAGGGTGAAAATGAATTTAGAAAGGCATTGCTCAAATACGAAGAAAAGTAAAATGTGACATGATTTTAGGGAATTTATGAAATGCAAAAATGGAGAATCTATTTGGACATTCCCCAATGAGTGGCCCAGGATAAATGATGTTGAAATTATAGAGGAGGAAATATAATCATTGTACAGGACTCGGTTCTTTTGTGAAAAATATTTGCAGAATCATGTTAATGTCCATACTGTTCATTGATTTCAATCCTATAGCATTTATGTGTGGATCAATAGAATGAAATGTTGGCATCCTTTGCAAAGTGGAGTAAATATACGAGTTGGAGAAGTTGGAAAGGGGAAGTGTAGAGTAGGGGTGGTGGGAGCTGGGGTGGCGGTCCCTCCTTACAAAGGGGGAAGCAGCACTGTCCCTGGGTAGGGGAACAAGAAACAGAGAATTAGGTCATGTTTTTCTATTTTAACAGTGTCCTTGAGGTATAGCTTACATACCACAAAATGCCCTCAATCAGTGTAAAATTTGAGGATTATTAGTACATTGATGGGACCATGCAACATTTCTCCACCTCGGGCAGAGCTGCATGGCTGTTTGCAGTCACTCCTGGCAACCATTAATATTCTTGTCTCTATGGATTTGCCTGTTCTGGACATTGTCCCTACACGAGATCACACGATATGTGGTCTTCTGTGCCTGGCTGCTTTCCCTTGGCATAATGTGTTCAAGGTTCGTCCATATGGTGACGTGTCGGCGTTACATTCCTTTTCCTTGACAAATAAGATTTTTGTGTGGACATAGCACGTCTCAGCCACTCATTAGCGGGTCTACTTTGGGGTGTTTCCGCCTTTGGAGATTATGAACAGTGCTGTGCTGAGCCTCGGGCACATCCTTGGGTGGACGCACGTGTCTGTTTCTCTGGGTAGATGCCTCGGAGTGGATTACTGGGCCTCATGATAAATTTATTTTTACCTTTTTGTGAAACTGCCAAACTGTAGATAATTAAGTATAGATAGATAGATAGATAGATAGATAGATAGATAGATAGATAGATAGATAGATAGATAGATAGACAGACAGACAGACAGATAGATAGATAGACAGACAGACAGACAGATACAAAACTCGAAAAAAAGCTAAAAATAGTGATATGATTATATGGGGGGGATAAAGTTAAAAAATGATGATTTCATGATTTAAGTAATTGCCTCTGAGGAGAGGACTGGGGAATGGTTGGTAAGGCAAGCAACCCACTGCAAGTGCTTCAGTACAACTTTATATTCTAATCACATGCATGTGTTACTCTGATTTGAAAATGTTATAAGTAAAGGATAAATGAGAAAGTGTACACAGGCCAGGAGGGAAGCCATGGGACTTTTCTAGAAGCAAGATATTGGGTTTGGGTGCTCAAGCCAGAGATGAGGCAAAGGGGGGAACTCTAGTGATCATTAGGGGGACTATTTGGAAAATCCTGGGGACTAACGGTGCCAGCCCACATCCATGGGTTGGGGATCACACACAGGCATTGTGATGGCTCACAGCCAGTAGGTAAGTTCAATGTGGAGGAACCTCTCTGCTGAAGATCCAACTTTCTAACAGCCTGAGTCAGTTAGAATTCTCCAGAAGGAGAAAACTTCTCTGTCTGGCAGCGTATCCTGTGGAATGGCAGACTTTTTAGTAGAATGCCTTTGTGACTTTTTAATCACTGTATCACTTAGCATATTTTCAACCCAGGCGTGCGTATCAGGTAAAGTGGCCTAGGTGTGCGTTTTATTTTTCATACGTGCCAAAGAGCCTTAAGGGTGAGCCGTTTCCGGGGCTGGTCTAGTGGCTCCACTGCTTCAGGATTCCAGGGCCACACCGGTGATTCTCTTCGTTTTCCCAAGAGACCAAGACTTAAAGGGTTTTCAGATGCCTGCAGCAATGGTAGGCTTCGCATCCTCACATGACAAAATTCAAAAGCAAGAAGGAAGGGGTGAGGGTTCTCTCCTCGGGCCTCTCTCTTATCAGGAGGATTATCTTTTTCCAGAAGCCCTCAGTAGACTTCCCTTGATCTCATTGGCGAGGATTGGGCCACATGCCCATGCCTGAGCAGTAAAAGATCAGCTGGCACCTGCCATTGGATGGTTGTATTAGCCGGCTAGAGCTGCCGTAAAAATGTCACAGCCCAGGTGGCTTAAGCACAGACACTTCCAGGAGCTGGAAGTCCAAGACCAAGGCGCCGGCAGGGCTGGTTTCCGGGTAGAGCACTGTTTCTGGCTTGCAGACAGCCGCCGTGCCCAACATCCTCACGTGGCCTCTCCTCCGTGCACGCACACTCCTGGTATCCCTTCGTCTTCCTACCAGGACACCAGATACATCAGATTAGGGCCCCACCCTTACAACCTCATTTAGCTGTAATTACCTTCTTAAAAGTCCCATTTCCTGAAATAGTTGCACTGACAGGGCTCCCACGTAGGAATTGGGGTGGGTGGGGTACAAGTCAGTCCATCATGTAAGCGACCAGGATCCCCACAGTGACAAGATTGTGGGAGAGATTCTGGCTACTTTTCCTCTCTGAAATAGTCTTTTCACATATGTGCACACACACACACACACACATATACACTCGTGCTTTTCTTTATTTTCATTTTCTAACAGTAACAATCTTGGTACAACAGATTTCATGGAGAAGCAAGGGCAGGCAGTGCTTCTGACCTTCACCACCAGAGCTGTGAACCCTTCCCACTGTCTTCTCTACCCCAGAAACACCCCCCCACCCCGCTCTGCCTATCACTTAATACTGCTTACAAGGGTCTTGACTTTTAAGCAATGCGACATTCAGTGTGTATTTAAATGCCATCCATTACCATCAAATGGTGACATTTACTTCATTTGTAATTCAGAAAAAGAAAACACCTCTCCAAATCCAGCAAAGAGACACTCATATCAAAGATAATGGACCAAAACAATTGTCATCCCTTGTATTTCAAGTTTGGAGAACAGAGCTAATAAAAGATTAAAAAGAAGGCCCAGGAGCCGTAGGAACAAGTGTGAGCAATCACTTGTCACTTGAGGTTAGCACAGAAGTTATTTTAACAAGATATTACTTGCAGAATTTCCACCATAAATCTTTTATTAAGTCCAAGAATCTCAGTCAAGACATTTCCCATGCAAGATTGTCAGAAATAATGTTCCTTCATCGCTTCCTTTAAAACCTGAGGAGAGAGAAGCTAAGTGCTGACCTGCCTGACCTTCACATAAACCTGATATTATTATTGATTTTCCTCTACTCAAAGAGGAGAAATATATTTTTTGGACGCGAACATTAACGAGCCTGTTTAGATAAGCCTGGACAAAGCCAATGAGTATTTATTTTGCTCTCCTATTTGCTTGGAGCGGAAGCCCCTGGGTGGGTGTAATAAGCCTGGACACATTTTGATTGCCGTGCATCACCCCTGGGCACAATAAAGAAATGGCGGCAGACGCAGCCTGGTGAGAGCATGAAAAACACCGTAGAATTCCAGCAACCTTAGCAGCCAGTGCTGACCTTCCCAATTAGGCAGGATTTCTTCTTAGAGACTCCAGGAAAGAAGTGCTCACTCTGCCTCGGAACCATATTCTAGCATCTCATGGATCGTATCTTCTTGCTAACAGCTGGTTCCAGCCAGGGCTAATGGCTAGATTTTTTTTTTTTTTTTGCATGTGGATGTCAAGTTGCGTTTGTTGAAAAGACCATCTTTGCTCCATTGTGTTGCCTTTGGTCCTTGGTCAAAGATCAGTTGACTCTATTTATGTGGGTCTGTTTGACTCTATTCCGTGCCATCGATCTCTGTGCCTTTCACCAGTACCACATGGTCTGGAGCTTTATACTCAGCCTTGAAATGAGGCAGCATCTGCCTTCCGACTTTGTCCTGCTCCTTCAATATCATGCTAGCTATTCTGGGTCTGTCTTTTCATAGAAAATTTACCATCAGCGTGTTACTACACAAAATAACTTGCTGGAATTTTGACATCTGTTGCAAGTGGAAGGTTCTCTCTACCCCAGTTGTGTTTTTTCCTTTTATTTACAGAAACCACTTTTGAAGCAAGTACCAGACTCTTCCCTTTTCTTATCAAAGCAGGAGGTTTTACTGGTCTGACTTAGTACAACAAAGTCTGGGGCTGAAGGTGAGACCCCAGAGACCATTGTGTGGCTGTTAGCTTCACTCTGACAGAGCTGGGCTTATAGTTTATCATTGGTCAACTGACAACATTGTCTTCTTATCCATTAAGATCACTCTCCTGGAATTTAAGTCTGATTTTTTTTAAAAATCCATCAGTTTAGACAATGGGGATGATTGAAATGGAGCAGAAACAAACACTTTAAAGAAATCATATGCATAATATATACTTGATAAATTTATCCTCCAAGCCTTTGGTTTAAAAAAAATAGGTTGCTAATTTTCTGATGTCTGCCTGTTGTTTAAGTTTTTCCAAAACACTGTAAACCAGATAATTAATACATAAAATGTATTAAGCAAGGCAATTAGAAGGGGGGGGAAGATTTTTAAATAAATTAACAGAGACTCAGTGGGTTATCGGATGCTTATGTGCACATAAAGTGATTTTAAAATACTTTAAAATGTTAGTGCAGGAACTTATTGCAGACTGAAACCCAGTGAAAATAAAATTTATTGTCTGCTGTAATATTTACCTAAAATATGCCCTGTCTTCTGTCTGCTAATGCTTTGTAATTAAAGAGCAGATACACATGATTCTAATAGGTCTATAATTCCTGGGACTCAAAATTTAGAGATTGTTTGAGTTTTGTTTTGTTATGTTTTAATTTTTTAAGTACAAAACTTTTTGTACCTATCATATGTTAATGAACAGTT